TTGTTTAGAAGTCTTGTTTAGAAGTTTTGACTGAAAATCATTGAGAAGTGAAACAGTACAAAAATCTCAGTTTGATAACCCTATAGACTCAGATTTCAAAACAACTATTTGAGAGATTTCAAAACAACTATTTGAGACAACATCAACAAAATCATCCATATGGGTACATTCAAGTGCCATAAAAAGCAAGCTACATGCAAGGTTTCATTAATACTGAACTTAAAAAAAATAAAATAAAAAAGACTGGTTAGGTATCAGAGTTGTGTTCTGAAGAGAGAGTATGTTCATATTTACATACAGGGAAGCCTTATAAATCAACATGCAAACAGAGGACACATTTGTCACAATAGTACTTTAGCTCACAAGGCCACTGATTAAAAACAATTGATTTCAACACGAAGTACAAGAACAAATAGGTCTGAAGTACATCAGGAAAACAATGTATATAAACATATTTTAAGCTTGTCATTCTAGCTAAATATTGCTTCTAGCAATATATTACTTAAGTCATAAAGAAATTACACAGTATTTTAATTCTGAGGACATGTGTATGTATAGATATTGAATAAGTCTGTATTCCAGGACTTTTAAAGATGGGTAGGAGGAAGAGAAGTCTGGGAAATTCAGCCCTGCCTGGAGGCTAAGAGGCACCAGCACCATTTTCCTTAAACCATCAGTACTCTTATTTGTGAAAAGATGGTATTTAATCTTTGCAGATCTCTTCTGTACACCAGGCGGGAAAAAGTCATCTGTCCCCGCACATTTCAGAAATACTCATAAGAAGGCCACAGAAGTCAAAAAGCCCTTTTCCAGAAAAGGCCTTTGTATAAACTGGTTTGATATCCCAAGAAAAGGAGTGGTTATGGATTCATAGGTTAAAATTTATTACTTTAAGGCTTCTGAAAGGTTAGCAAGTCAATTTTTTTTTTTTTCTTGAACTATGGAGCCTGTGCCACACAAACAATTATAGATGCTTAGGAAAATACTCCATCAAATGTTTCAGGAATATCCTGCTTTATGTGAAACACTGGGGAGGAGGACATAGCAACATAGCAACAGTAAACAGTAAGAACATGCAGGATAAAAGAGTTAAAGCGTCCAGGGAAAATACCGCTACCATATGCTTAAATCTGATTTCTCCAGGGAGGACAAAGGCTTACTAAACCTCAGAGCAGAAAAGCTGGCTTGGGCAATCCATTGCTACTCCTTTATACCACAAGTAACATACGCTACAAAAAGTAACATTTATTGACAGAAAAGTGATCACATGATCTCCTCTAGGACAGTGAACTATCAAGATCAAAGGGTATGATACAGGAGATAACACAGCAGCAAGACAGGGTTCAATGGTTTTAGTCTTGACATTTCAGATGAGCACCCTGTTTTCTGATCACAGAAAGATCAGCCACCAAACAGCCAATGCAAGGACCACAAGAAAAGACATCACGAAAGGAATACGAGGAAACGGAAAAGTACTAAAGTAGAGGTGGCACTTTTTGAGAGACTTGTGATCCTCAGGGATTGGAATAGAAACCTTGGGAAGAATTTCTTCATTTTCTTGCTGGGGCAAGGCTCTTTCAGCAGATCTCTCTTGCCTTTTAATTTTCTCTTCATCCTGTACTAACAGAGCACGTTCCTGTGTCTGCTTTCACGGTAGAAGATCAAGAAAGACAGAGAAAGATGAACAAAATGACAGATGGAAAGTGCTCAAAAACGAAACTTGGGGATGTGCAAAGGATTTGGGAAGATCTTTTGGATGCTCTTTAGACTGGCTTACTTCAGTTTGGCAAATTAGCCTGGAAAAGTATCTGTAATACATATAGTAGGGTGCTCAATAGATAAATTTGTGAATAAATGAACATGAGAACTTTTGAAAATTCAAGGAATCACTGGACTTCCTTACAGTATTTACTCTTCCTTCAGAGGATATTCATATATGAATTCTGGGTAATTTTTAATTGCTTTAGTGCTGCCAATTTTCCTTAGATCAATTGGGCAAAGCCAATAATGAAGCATTCTTTTTGCCATCATGAAAGTTACTTTTATTACAAATAGAATGGCAGAATATAAAAAGTTATAGTCATATTTCTTCATATGGACTTAAAAAATGGAACAGATCATTCAGTATGGTATGCAATTAGCGTTTGCTCAAGGGAGTAAAAATCATAATCCTATACATTTTAAGCACTGCAAAAGAAAAAGTCCGAAAGTTTATAATGTGCTTCCAAGGTCTACTTAAGTACAGCACAAATGATTCAATCCTTGGAAACTTCAAACATACAAAAATAAAACAAAAACAAAACCCTACATGACCTTAAATTAACAATTGCCAACTCCCTCCCCAGCTCTCTGAGTCATGATTAATAATGACAATCATGAAGGTTTATGTATTACATTAAGCAAATCCTTTTGATACTTTTAAGGAAAGCTTCTTTTCCCCCCTTGCCCAATTGAGTATTTTCCCCTCCTCCCCAATTTCTGTACTCTGCCATCCACAGTTCAGACAGATGTTGTCTATGAAAGGAAAAACTTGGCTCTAAGTTCTCTCAGGTGACCCAGCCTTCTTTGATCAGTTTGGAAGCTTGAAACTGGTTCTTTGCACACCCCTAAGTGATATGTATCAGGGAGAAAGTAGCTGGGGGACTGGTCAGCAAAAAGAGAAAGAAAGAGAAAGGATGCAAAATTATAGTGATTTTAAAAAGAAAAAAAGGGGGAGAAGAAAGACAACATAAAAAGAATAGGGTATAATTAAATTCATTTTCTCTCTGAATACATATTTATATCTTCATGCAGCTTTTCAACCAGCCATGCGCTGAAATAAGCAAATTGAAAGCTGCAAAAGTTGCAGCAGTGTAAGTGTTATATGTTAGGCCAAAAGGCTGTGAGTGTGAATTTACTATTATAGCCAAAAGAAAAAAAAAATTACTCAGCAGCAGCTGCTCAGTTCTGGGGGGATTATCTGCTTAGTGCCGTGACAAGAGCAAATTCTGACTGAGAAGCACAAGTCATAATAGCAGCTTTACCTCTGGCCCACCAACCTTTCTGTCCGATGGAAGGATAGAGGTTTTCTTCACCTGGTTATACACAAATTATATAAAATTCAGTTGCCTTGCAATGCAACAACAATGCTATCAAAGGTGGAAGAGGTATCCCCAGAGAACAGAGATATTATCCTAATCATTAAAGAAAAAGTAAGATATGCTGAAAGTGAAATTATCCCTATATAAAAGGTTATCACAGTACAGTTCTTATTTATTCTATTATTCATTTAGAGGGGTAATGTGCTTTAGCATACAGCTAAAATTGCTCAAGTGCTCCCCATGGATTTACTTTAGCTTATAAAAAGTAGTTTCTTTAAAGTCCACAGAATGATATCTCCATTCTCAATACCAGCCCTGAGATGCTTTCTGTTAAAACATATGACAATTTCTGGAAATGGAGACCAATAATTCAGATTTATCCAATGTCATCCAAGAGAGTTACTAAGATATATTTTTTAAAGTAGTTGAACATCTTTTGTTACTTGCAGAGAGTGAAAAAGAAAAATAAAATATGCAGTATGCTTTGTAGGTAGGGTTAACCAGGCCACACAGTGAGGCTTATTCTCATGAAGTCACAGACTTATAGAATTTTAGAGTTAGTGAGGACATTAAAGATCATCTACTCAATAAACCAAGCTCCTGACAAGATAAGTGACTTCTTTAGAATCATTCACTTAGGCTTTGATTAGTCAGATCCTCTCAATGAAATCAGGCCACCAATACTGCTAGACCTTTTATGACTCTTCCTGCTAGGGGCATGGCAAAATGAAGTATCTGACTAACACTGAGAGTGGTGGTCTCACTCAGACAGTAAGGTCATGGTCACAGTTTAGGGTACATTCTTTAGATTTTGAGCACAAAATGAATGACATGTGTATCAGGGAATAGAGGCCAAGAGGACAGTGAATAGTAACAACAGTATCCTATCATTCTCAGGAACTCTATTTAATTCAGGTATTCTCTAGCCTTGGCGAAACTTGTTCAACTCTGTTTGGAGACTTGTTAGCCAATTTTAATCACACTTTTTAACAAATAAAATAGAAGAAGTATCAACTTCTCCAGTTCCAGAAATTAATAACTTTGATAGTTTCCTATGAATTCTGTATGTAAACACCAGTTTTTAAAATTATCACTTTACCTCTAGTAATTAGAATTGCTATCGTTTTTTTTTTGGGGGGGGAAAACAAGCACATAATTTTTATATCATTACAATCACTCATTAGATCAGTGTTACTATTTACATAAATATTTAACCAGTACAGGCTAAAGATTAAGTAAAGAACCTCTGGATATATGTTCATTATACAGATTAATTTATTCTGGGACAGGATACAAAATAGGAAATGACAATAATAGCAAAAGAACAGACTCTGCAAGGTATCTCTGGCCTCCTCTAATTGTGTATATTTTATATTAAATTATTACTGTTAATAAAGATAAAATAAATCGATAGTTTTTCTAAAATTGAAATACGATCTTTAATACTTGGTATTCTATATCTCTGGCTTCGGGGCCTCCTTGGTTTAGTATATAATGTGGCCAACCATTCCAGACATTTCTAAGTTTTACAAATGCTCAAATAAAGTTTTAAAAAAGTGTTAATCCCTTTCCAATTTTGACTTTACTAAATTTAGTAAACTCTGGTCCTTAGAGGCATAGTCTGGATATAAACAAAGCTTCACTGGCCTATGGTCAATTTGTCAAAACAAACTGGCCCAAGGAGCATTCAGCTGCAGAGACAGTTCTCAGAGCCTCTTCTGCTAACCATCTACTAAACTGGTAGCCTACATGACTTAAAACACAAGTGAACTATGAATCCCTTATAGGTGCAATGAATTGGTGAGGCAACACACCTCAATTTCAACTTTAAACTTTCTCTCAGATATAGAGTATTAAAAAATTTAAAAAAAAATTTATTCCATTCACTCCAGCACTTGGTCACAAGGACAAAGTACTCACTCCTTCTTCTGTGGGGATCTGGCCGTTGATGTTAAGTGTGCGGAAGGGGGAGTGAGTGGATAAGCGTTTATCCCACTCACTGGGCCGTGGTTCTGGTACAGATTCCATGAAGTTCTTTTTCAGCTCACTGATGCTGGCATGATGTTTTTTGATCTCTTCTTGACTCTTGTCTAAATCCTATAGTTGAAGGGATAAAGATGCAAAACAATAAATACTCTGGAAAAAAAAAAAAAAACACACCAAGCGCAGCCCATTAGAGACTATGGGCACTGGTAGAAAACACACCACATCCAGGATGTTACCAATCCATAAATAGCATTCAAACTGTAAATATACAGCATGGTATATTTGCTTTTTTTTTTAAACAAGGTCCATTCTTGGAAGCAGTGAAGTACTATAACCTCATAGCTCCTAGCAAGTGTGTAACACACAGAGTTCACCCCTAATGTTGTGACTCTTCTTCCCATTATGATGCAGTGCCAGATCTCCAACTCCTCATCCCAAGAAGAAAATCCCATAATTTAGTTAGCTTCAGCTTGATATGAACTGATTTAGGCTCAGCTCAGGTAGGATGGAGATAGCAGTAGGTAAGAAGACACCATTAAATGAAAGCCACAGTGTAAGATTCAACTCCCACCATTGGCTGCCTTACATTGGTGAGGTACAACTGTACAGTATCCCCCTATTTCTACATGAGGATAATCTGGCTTCCCTATTACTAGGTGGTTAATGTTCCTTTTCGATAAATAGAAACCATTGCTTTTTTTAAAAAAAATTTTTATTGTGATTTGGGTGAAAATTTACAGAGCAAATACATTTTCCATACAGCAGATAGAAACCATTGCTTTTTACATATAAGAATTTATCATCAAAATTCCTGGCTCAATATCCTAGAGAAGATGTTACTACTTAAGAAAAACCACTCAAGGGTATGGAATATAATGGCTTTTTCTTTGCCAATACTATTCACACAACCTAAAAGCCTTATGCTTTCTAGCTTCCAACAGTTTATTTCATTCCTTAGTATAATTCAAAATAGGAACTTCTAGTAACTTTCAGTGGATTGGAAATGAGTTAACAAGAGTTTGTCAAATACCTCATTACTTCCTTAACAATTTAAAAGAACTCAACTGCTAGAAGATTTAATTAGTGGGCAACTAGAAAAAGAGATGTCAAAGGAGACCCAAAACAACTATGAAAAGTGACACTTGACTAAAAATAATCTGGGAGATATAACTAGAAGACAAAAACTCAACTGTTCTTTGTCCAACACACTTCTCTGAAAAAAACTCCCAAGATCTATGCTTGAGATCAAAATATGTGGAAGCCCATAACTTGATGACTGCTAAAAATTCTCTGTTTATTACGTATCAAGATAGCTCTGTATCCAAGAAAAGCATAATGTTTAATATTATCTCCTGATGTGCTGTGTGTATTTTGGGATTAGTCTTTCTTTTTTGGCTCTGTGAGAAACAGCATCATTTTGGAAAAAAAAAAAAAAAAGGAATACATTTAAATAAAAATTTGTTTGAAAGTTTTTTTCACAAGAGAAATAAGGCTTCAACAAGATAAAACTATTTCAAAAGCAATGCTAAAGGGAAGTAGCATGGTAAAAAGAATCAATGAGACACATTACAACAATTTTTAATTGGAGAAATTCATTCAGAAAATTCAGTTACTATCTATTCTCTTTTTATTTATGCAAGACTGAACCATGTATATTTGCTCTGAGATCAGTCAAAGAGAACACTAAACCAAAAAAAGGCAATCTTGTAGCTTCCCCCTAAAAGTAACTCTTGCCTGCTGGGATGAAATGTGAGTACATTTCTGAATATGGGCTTCACCACAGGGAAACAACAGTTTGCATTTTTGTTCTGCTGAAAGCAACAAAAGCATGTTTACTAGCTAAGGAAAGCATGAACAAACGCAAAGACTCAGTGGTGGGTTGACTAAGACTCACCAGGCACATAAAGCCTTTTGACCCAGCTGTGGATTGGAAATTATCTGCTTTGGACAAGAACCACTTAACACATAAGTACCTGTTGCTGTGGAGTGAATTCCAATTTGTATGGGAAGGTTAAAAGTGTGATTGGAGTAAAACAAAAATGAGCAAAAGATGCTATGGTAAAACTACAACTCTCTGGGTTAGCCTCTTAACCTTTTCATGACCCATGGGACATACTGTGTCCACCTCTACTTTCTGCCTCTGGGATTTAGCGGGAATCTGTTATCCCACTTTCAGTTTGTGCTGCCATCTGGTGGGGGCCTATATAATTAAGTGAATCTGAAGAAACGGGCCTCATCCCAATCCCAGCACCAGAGAACCCTTGGGACATAAGTGTTTCAAAAATTAAATATAAATCCGTATTACCTCAAAAAAAAAAAAATTTATTTCATTCAAAATGCCCTCCATTACTGAAAACACATGGTTTTCAACAAAAAATTCAAAGTAGAATATAATTATGTCTTGGAAGGGTTAATATGGGAGACTGGTGATTTGTTACTCGTCTCGCCTAGCATTTGATTAGCTTGGAACCTGAGAAAATAAATGTTTCAATAAAATCAGTAGCTTCTTAGGGAGCTTTCTCCATCCTTCTTAGCTGGCTCTGTTGGAAACCTGTGGGGGCACAGAGTAAAATTAAGATCTCAAAGGGACCTGTTCCAAATAGAATTTGTCATAGACACTCTCTACAGGTTCTCTCTGGGAGATGGAGGAGGAGGCGGTAGATCTAAAAATGAACTCGACCTTATTTGTGCTAGAATAAAGCATTAGTGGGGGTGGGGTAGGAGTAGGGGGAGGAGGAATGCTTTAAAAAAAAAAAAAAAAAAAACCCAAAGTGAGAGAACTTCCTTAGGGGGTAAAAAAACAAACTTTTTTCCAATATCTAAAAAATGATGGTCAGCCACATTACCTTGGCTGTTTTCAGGTTAGACACTTTTGATGCTTATTATCTTATAATTTTAGCAGCAATCACACAACAAATCAAAACCAAACCCATTGCTGTTGAGTCAATTCCAACTCATAGCAACCCTACAGGACAGAGTAGAACTGCCCCATAGGATTTCCAAGGCTGTAAATCTTTACAGAAGCAGACTGTCTCATCTTTCTCCTGTGGAGTGGCTGGTAGGTTCGAATGACTGACCTTTTGATTAGCAGTCAAGTACTTAACCACTGTGCCACCAGGGCTACCTTATTCAAACCAAATAGTTCATTTAGTATTAGATGTTCTCAAAAGGCAGTTAGTAGTTTTAATTTCCAAACACACACTTATTTAGAAATCCCCTCTTATGGCTGTCAATGAAATGTTGGGGGAAAAAAATCACACACAGGGATTTTGTGAGTCTCAGAAGCCAAAACACACCTCATGGAACAAATGGTAAATATATGATTGGTACTGTAGGTTCCAGTTAGGAGGAAACACTGAAGGTGGGCTAGTCAAGAAACACATACATCTTTAGAGCTGGGATATGTTACACTGCTAAGTACAAGGAGGTGAACTGACATCTACTACCCTCCCTAACAGATAAATCATTGCAGGTCTAGATTCACAGCAAAGATGTCTAAGTCATCAAGTTTTAAATATCTTAGGTTCCAGCCTTGGAAAACCTCACAATAAATGAACAAAAAAATTATGTAAAGCATTTGGTATTGTACCCAGCACTCAGTACATTCTTTAACGAAGGCTGGCCATTAATACAATTTTTATTAATTTTATCAAAGTACTTTATACAGAGTAGGCACTCAAAAATATGTACTGACAAAGAATAAGATGAAGTTAAGTCATTACTAGAGGCCATACATTAAGTAAGAAATTATCTAAAAACATTTCTTCAAATTCTAGTTTAGTATTTACCGCATTTAAAATATGTTCATCTTTCAGGTCTCAGCAAAAATGCTATCTCTTCAGAGATCCTCCCTGACAATTTTATTTGGAGTAAACTTACTGTCTTTGAGTTAGTTTTGACTCATAGCAACTATATAGGGTTTCAAGGCTATAAATCTTTATGGAAGCTGACTGCCACATCTTTCTCCTTTTTCCTTAGAGTAGATCCTCTTTATTAGCATAGCATACTGGTTATTTCCTTCATGTTGTTGTTGTTGTTATTTGCCGTCAAGTCGGCCCTAGCTTTTGTAATAATTCATAATAATTTTATTGCTATTTATTTACTCTTTCTTATTTCTTCCTCCACACTTGCCAAACTGTAAGCTTCCTGAAAGCAAGAACCATACTTATCATCTTTCTATTAACATCTCTAATGTTCCATACAGTATCTGGAACTTTTAGGAAAATAGGTGTTTTAAAAATAGCTTGAAATGACAAATTTATGAACTTCAATTCTTCCTAAACTGAGTATAAGTTACCATACAATAATTTGAATTAACACTTATCCATTCATTTGTAGGAATTTACTATTTTCTTCCAGACTAAAGTGTCAAGTACCCAGCATAGTGCACTTAGACATAATAGATGATGCATTGACACTTTTGATAAAATTGATAGTAATATTTGTTATCTAAGGAGATCTGGAGACAGCAGTTTGAAACCACCAGCCGGTCTATGGGAGAAAAATCTAGCAGTCTGCTTCTGTAAAGATTTTCAGCACTGGAAACACTATAGAGCAGTTCTAAGGTGCTCTGGTAGCACAGTGCCTAAGGCATCTGACTGCTGTCTTGAGTGGAGTTGTAAAATAATCTGGCCATCAATTTCTAGAGAGGAGTTTTTCTGATATGTAATCTTACCTGGACTCAGTATTTTTTCTGTACAGAATAATCAGTTTCCTTAATTTTTCCTTATAGTTGTCCTCTAAATCTTGTAATTAGTTTTGTATTGCTCCATCCAACGTGGAGCGCAAAACTAGATAAAGTACACTAAAATAGGTCTGGGAGCTCTGGTAGTGTAGTGGATAAGGCACTTGACTGCTAACCAGGAGTCCCTAAATCCACCAGCCACTCCTCAGAAGGAAGGTTGGGCAATCTACTTCCGTAGGGATACTGCCTCGGAAACCCAAGGAGGAGAGGCTATGAGTCAGGTCCGACTCGACGGCATGTAACTACAACAATAAAATAGGTCTGGTAAAAATCTGATCAATGTTAAATATAATGGGAAAATGGCCTTATAGCTCCTATAGCATACAGTATGCTGCTGTTTTTGAATGAAAACAGTGTAGTTTAGTAGAGTTAGACAGATCCTAACTCATACCAATTTACCAGCTCTGTGAACTTCACTCAAACCAAACTCACTGCCATAGGAGTCGGATCCGACTCATAGGGACCCCTCCTTGGGTTTCCCAGGCAGTAACACTACGGACGTAGATTGCCCAATCTTCCTTCCAAGGAGTGGCTGGTGGATTTAGGGAAATTAATTTACTTAAGCCTAAGTTTTCTCATCTTTAAAGTAATAATGCTGTACTCACAGGCCTGTCTTCAGAAGTAAATGACCTTATCTCATAACAGCTACCCATTAAAGTCTAGGCTACCTTGTTTCCTTCCCATATCCTACCCGCCCAACCTTTTGTCAGTTTCTGGTATCTCTAATATTATAAGTTTTTTTCTCTGAATTGTGATCATTCCTCCTACTTGTCCACATTGCCTCAGTTCAGAAGATGAAAATATAATACAAATTTGCTTCTTGGGATACATAGGAATTTATATTCTTTAAGGAACTTTTAGAAATGATAAAGAATTTTCTAAAAGTGGGTAAAACAATGGAACCATTAGAAGTAGAAGTAGTCCCAATCATATATTTTTTTAGATAAGTATGAAAGATGGAAACTAAAAAGAGTCAGAAAGAGAGATGGTTGCATATCTTCATGTTTACCAACATGCAAAAGCATTTTAAACCTAAAATTTTCTCGTGCAATGCATGCAAAACCAAATGCAGCATAGAAAGAAGAAAAGGGGATTAGCAAAGAATGCAGAAGGTTCCAGGCAACCAACTAAAATAAGCTTCAAGTTCATACAAACCTCCAACATTAAATTGCTATGTCTGATATAAATGTTTTCACCATCTAGTCTCTCTCTTTTTTTCTGTGAAAATGAAAGGGGGGGAAACAGAAAAGCATAAAAAATTAAAATGTTGTTCTTGCAGAAAAAAACTGCAAATTGGCAAACTGAAAAATATTTAAAATCAAATGTCTGCAGTGCAGCATATGCCAACATGAAATGGTCACAGAACCACAGGGACACACAGAGAACATGATTACCACTAGAAAATGGATGACTTATTCATGAAAAATGAAAGAACGTGATGAAGTTATTTAAATAGACAGTGTTCCTGGCTTCATTGGCTTCTTACATAATAAGCTGTTTTATGCTCATTTTTGAAATTGAGTTCTTTAAAAGGTTACTTTAAAAAGTGATGTTTAAAAAGCTTTTGAGATTCCATATTCCATGGAGCAGAGAAGTACTTAAAAACATTTTTCAGCCTTTTGGACAAAAATTTATATTTAGTCATATTGAAGTATGTTTATCTCTAATACTTTTTATAAGAAATATAAAGGGTATTTTATATATAATCAGACAATATTCTATTAAATAATAACTGATTCATCTCACTTTATGGTTGAGAAGAATAAGAATTAGAGGATTCAAACTCACAGTTATTAAAAAAACTGGGAGTTGTTGCTATGATGGTTTTCATAAGTATGTGTAAGATATTATCAGTAAGTCCATGAGTATGATGCCATTAAAAATATTTCTTATAAAATTTAAGAATAAAGGGTAAATTTGGTCCTCACTGATTATTTAATTTTATTTAAAGATAATATTTTCCTACTGGAAAGTTTATTTTAATGAAATTTTTCAATATATAGCTTAGAATGATAATTTCTTTGGTGATGTGTATGTGTGTGTTATCTACTATGAGAAAATAATTTCTGGTTAAGAGAAATCAATGAAAAAGATGGATCACTGTCTTTTTAATGCACTGTAAGTCAGCATGGGTGAAATGGCAATGTAGTTTTGTGAAAGTGAAAAATGGCTAACCTTCCTCATTCTTATCAGATCTTCAGTTTTTTCTGAAAGCTTCTGTTTTGCCATAATTAAAAAAAAGAAAGAAAAATGATAAAATATTGGTTCACTGAAGTTTGTTTGAACCTTCATATTGTAACTTTTTTTTAAGGAGAGGGGAGTCAGAGAAGAAAAAATGGTGGTGATGTGGTGGGGTGGGGGGAGGAACAAGCGACCTGTTGGCACAAACCTGAGTTTGGTCACCATTTGAGGTAGGTACTGTGACCTCGATGTGGGTTTTTTCCACCTACATTTAAGAAATAAAGTGGTAAAAACATTTTAGGTTAGTAGGTTTCTATGAATAGCATTGTTTCAAAATAAGTTGAAATTTTAAGGTGGTTGTGAAATTTGCTGTTATGTGATCATCATGATGCAGTCTTACGGAGGGTGTTACAGGGAAGGGTATCACTCCCAATAGCAATTTGTTAGTTCACCATTTTCAGGGCTGACGAGGTAATGTGGATATCTAAATTATCAAAAAAGAAAATTATTCTATTGATGATGAAAACATATTTTTACTTATTATTAAAAAGTACTTATTAAAATAATAATGTTGGTTATTTAATACTACAGTCATATGCTTTCACTTTGTGGCTTTTCTTTTTTGATGATCTGGAAGTACTTTAATTAATATTAAAAAACCAAATTTATAAATGAAGATATCAATGTCTGACATACATGACAGTTAGAAACAAACAAAAATCTTTACGATTAAAACACACATATAATATACTACATATAACAACAAACAGGCAAATACAAAGGATTTTGCTAGTTGATCAGTTTAAGGGGGAGTTTCATTTGATTAGACAACAAAACATCAAAATAAACTCAATCCAAATTGTTACAGACACATGCAATTATGTTCAGATCTATTTATAAATAAACTCAACTGGACCATTCAAATTTGCAATTTCCTTTATAGGGAGCTGAAGTCCATGTGTTTGGTGGAAGAGCAAGACTCATTCTTAATAGTAGGAAGAGAATAGCTAAGGCCTTCTGCCTAGTTTTGAAGTATCTTTAGAGTAATACCCATTTTATATCCACAAAATGGAGTATTGTAAATATAAAACTAAACAAAACAACCCAACAGGCTATTAAGAAGAAGCATGGTAGATTGAGTAATGTCTACAACACTGGACATTTCACAATTAGAAAATTGTCTATTTTTATGAAATCAATCATTTTGGATCACTAAGTTCTTAAGACGTCATCAATCTTGGTTTTGACACACACTTTTTTTTATCACACTTGGCAGCGTTACTTAGCAATATGATAGCACTATGTTGTCTTCTCCAGGGCTGAATGTAGAATACCAAACTTTGTGACACTGTCAAATCATAAGTACATCTAGCTACGGAACTTTGTAACTATCAGGAGTAATCAACAATTTGGGCATTTCTACTTTGAACCCCAGCATACTTGCTGTATGAGCATTAACAAGTTATTCTGCCTCTCTGAGCTTAAGATTTCTTATTGATAAAATGGTGATAATGTGTCACTTCATAGAGTTATATAGCTTAATGGTAGTTTTTAATCATTCTATAATGATTCCTTGTTTAAATATAACTCCCCCCCCCCATGCTTTGGGTCTTTTAGATATCCAACAGCAGAAAACTGATAGCCTCTACTTAGGTATAAGAATAAAGGTCAAGTAACAACAGTAGTTCTATATATGCCCCTACAGAGAACATTAAATGAGATTAAGAAGTACATGGGGAAGGAGTATCAAATGACTCAAGATAGCAAAAGCTATCACTATCTTGCACCAAATTAGTGTTAGATGGTGAAACGTACACAGTTGCAAGGTTATTTTATTACTACTGACTATTGCTTTATGCAATAAATATGGCTTCAGGCAAACGCCATAATTATTTTCTAACTGCTACAAATAAAATCAACTTGGTCATCCTTAATTCTGTCACTACTATTACAATAACTGAAGGTCATCACAGAGGACTTTCAGTCTGATTTCAACAGAGTACCTCAAAACAAATATTTACATAGAATTACTTGGTAAGAAGATGCCCTATAAACACTTGAACAGGGGCATATATCTGATTCTGCTCAGGTCCCAAGAACAAAGGGCACCTAATTTTTAAAAAATACTTGTGTCTATAAACCAGCAGAATGTCAGAGAAATCTTAACCTCTCCAGCAGATTCCCTTGCCACTCCAGTAATTCAATATTTCGCAGTTCTATAACAAATGGAAGGACAGTCAGAAGTGCCAGGTGAAATATTCTGACATTAAAAACGAGGTAATATAACATTGAAAAGGCATTACTGACAATGAACTTGATGGCCAATGTCATGCCCATTTGGCTAGGCATAAAAATGCAAACACCCACTACTTGCTCAATCTTCTCTCCCCTCTCTAGATACATGTTGGTCTCAAAGGACAATAAAAACTGCATGTTGTTATATTCAACAGTTTTTTTTTAGATACCACAGTCAAAACAGAGCCAGATTGGCCACTGCTCTACCATAGGCTCGACATTGAACTGGTTCCTAAAGACCAGGATTAATCCATCTGCCAATGTGAGAGCACTTACTAAAGTTTTAAGAGGGTTTTAAATTTCTTAACAAAGATATAAAAATGTAATTTCTTATGAAGACTGCTTTTCATAATTCCTGTTGTCAACAGTGAGACCTGTATTTACTTCAATAAATTTGAACTAGCATGTCAACTTCACCAGGGCTTAAATATGTTTACAAAGCTTATCAATATATAAAAGATCAGTTCAGTTACTGTTACTTCTGAGAAATATACTAATTAAATTGGTGCTTTTTCCAAATGGCTAATTGACTGTAGGTATAATCAACTCAGAACTGTAAGCAATTCAGCAGCATCACTTCTCCTACACAACAGATTTTCCCTCTTAGTAAAGCCAGCTTAAGATCTGAACAATCATATAGATATGCTTTAAATATACCCAAATAGATGTCCTTTTCTCTGGAAATGTGCATACAGGCATCTTAGAAAATCAAATTACATTTTAATTACAATGACAGAGCTTATTTTTAAAAGGGAATGTGGAGACTCCTTCTGGATGAATAAAAACTCACCATACTGGTCTCGTTCATAAATCCACTTTTTTTCAGATACTAAGTTGGATCAAGGTGTGAATCATCTGAAAACTTCCTTAGGCTAGCTTATCATCTACATGATATAATTCTATGAAAATACTTTATAGGTTCATGGGAGAAGGCTTCTTTCAAAAAGAATGAGAAAGAAATAACTGTTAGGATTCTAAAACAATCATATGCTTTGATATCCTTCCTGGTAAAGGACTTAAGTCCTCTAAACTAGAAGTGAATTATCTAGATATTTGAACTTATGACATACCTGCCATATTTCTGTGGGCTCTGGCTCAACTTGCTCAGGTGGCATTTCTTCCCTTTTCACGTCAGCCTTCACTGTTTCCTTTTGTGTTTTAGAGACCCCTGGTTTTTGGACAGATGTACCTGGGATACTGTCTTCTGTGATCTGACTCTGAGCAATGGCTGGTGCAGAGGTGGGCCGAGGACTTCGGTCTGCTGAATCAGCAGCTGCTGCTATGGGAAAAAAAGAAAATGGAAAGATAAGTGAAGACAAGAATCACTGTACTACTCCAAACTCACCTCAGCAAAAAGAAAACCATTAATGCTCTGCCAGGTAATTTGATGGCAACAAGAAACTAAAAGCACTCTCAATAGAAAACCTAAAATATATTAATGGTCATGTTCCATAAATGCTGAATTCTGGGGAGGAAAAAACATCAAAATAGGAAAAGAAACTAAAATCCCATGTTATTAAACAGTTAGCAAGATCATTAATCTTATAATCTGTCAGAAATACAGACGGTTTTAAGAACCTGAAATGTAGTCTATGGAGGAAAAAGAGGGTAAATTCTGATTTCTTCCAGACTTTTTGAAATAAAAACCATTTCATTTATAGGCAATTTCAGCAACCTAAAATATATTCTAGGGAAAAAGTCAGGTTTCTTCTGCGAAGCCTCCTTGGACTAATTATAAAACAGCTTGATGAATGCTCTTCTAAGAAGACAGGGACTACATTTTGATGCCTGTAAGGGCAAATCTTCAAGCCAGAATTTCCTTTTTAACAATTAATCATTTGATCACAATAATATGAATTCAAAATCTTTGATCTTTAGCACTAAACAAAACAAATCTTTTGTACTGTCCTACCCTCTCCCTGAGTCATATCAATTTGTATTATAGCTTCTGTTCTCTAATATATATTTATAGCAGTGGTTCACAACCAGTGGCGATTTTGCCCTTCAAGGAATAGTTGATAACGTCTAGAGACATTTTTGGTTGTCACAACTGGGAAGAAGGAAAGGCTACTGGCATCTATGCAGAGGTCAAGGATACTGCTAAACATCCTATAGCACACATGACAGACAGTTCCCCACAACAAAGAATTATCTGGCCCAGAATGCCAATCCTATTGAGGTTGAGAAACCCTGGCATAGGGAAAAGACCACATAGACTATTTTAGAGAGAATAAACAATATTGTTGTTGTTGTTGTTTGCCGTCGAGTCGGCCCCGACTCATAGCAACCCCTCCTTGGGTTTCTGAGGCAGTATCACTACGGAAGTAGGATTGCCCAACCTTCCAATAGGCATATGATAAAAGTTTGATCTTTTCACAGAGCTTATTGTTGTTCTGGATTGGACTACTTACCACCTAAGTTTTAGATAGCTTACTCCAAAATATCACTTATTCTTTTTATGGGTTTTATCTTCATTCTTTGATGGACCAAAAGACAATGCCTATATGCTTTATAGTAAAACTTCACTTATCTGGAAGTGTCTAGGAATGAAGGTATTTTTCTACGTGATTTAATATTTCCCTGATAACAGATCATTATTCTCTCATGTACTGCTAATTTATAATGTTATTCCTTTTGCATGGAAGTATTTAGACTATTTCATTACATACTTTACTGCCTTGTTAAACCAAGTATATTGAACATAATTTATCTTGATAAGTTTAGATCCATAAACTAAGGATTAGGCAAAACAGAGGAATTCTATGAATCAGAACAAACAAAAAATTTTAATTCACAGCTACTTTATACACACAATGCCAAGAAAGACATGCTCATTAACCTGTAATGATCTCCAGTGAGAAGAATCATTCCTTGGAGGATTAATTAGGGAAGATAGCAGAAGCACAAGAATCTATTTTATCCTTCAATGAAAAATCTATGGCCTTTTACAAGTCTCTACCACTATGGGTGCTCTAAGCCAGTCAATGCAAGAATGGCAGATGGCAGACCAAATCTAACAACACAGGATAATGTGACAAAATATTTTGCTCACAGTTGTGTTAAAGTATCATCATACATGTGTATTCACACCTCCTCTCAAAGAATTAATTCCACTCTGCTTGGCATCACAGAAACATAGCCCATGCTTTCACCATGTGTTATTTTGCCACTTGTATTTGGTTTTAATCCAATACTAATATTGCAGAGCCAAATGATTTATGTCTTCAGCATTCCTAGCCCTAGCAATCTGTACAGCATGTGGAAAAGTAGATACAGTGTGGAAAGTGTGAGTTAGAAATAGAGGTGCAACAGTTTAGAGATTGGAAAAATGATGGCATTACAATGAAAAGCCTTGACTGGGAAAGGCCATGTGGAACAATCAAAAGCAGAATCATGAGTCTTGGGTTTGAGCTCATTTAGGCACATGTAGCAGACACAGCAGTGTGACCCAGGGCAAGGAGCTTAAATCTTATAAACCGTAGTTCTATTATTTACAATGCAAGAATGGCAGATGGCAAACCAAATCTAACAACATAGGATAATATGAAAGACATCAACTCTATATGATAGTTGGGGAAGGCATATTAAATTGAAATACAAATATTTTATAAACCCCAAGTAAAATAACTTTTAATATAACTAACTTCCTGTATCTCTCTTGTTCTGGGTAAATATTATTTCATCAGCATGCTGGGTGAAATTAATTATGCATACACAGATATGCAATTCAAATCAAAGATATCACCTGGAAGCCCTAGACAGAGGTAGCACTTCTTTCCTTTTCTCGATAAGAAGATTGCAAACTACAGATCACAACAGAGTACCATGGTAGTGAATAGGTTGTTTTTTTAACAGATTCATTGAGTTAAAATTCACATATATACAAGTGACTCATATGAAGTATCTAAGTTTTAGTATATTCACAGGGAAGTGACTACTTTTTAAGATGATTTGGGCTCTCCAGTTTTATGAATTCATTTGTTAGCTATTACAAGATTTTAGTGCATATAAGAGGACATTTAACTTTAAGAATTCAGTATCTTCCATTTTTGAAGGTCTACACAGAGTATCATTGGTGGTGATAACCTTAACCCGTTGCCATCCAGTCAATTCCAACTCATAGCAACCCTATATGACAGAGTAGAACTGTCTCAGAGGGTTTCCTAGGCTGTCAACTTTATGGAAGCAGATTGCCACATCTTTCTCCTGCAGAGTGGCTGGTGGGTTCAAACAGCTGATCTCTGAGTTAATAAGTAAGCACTTAACCACTGCACCACCAGAGTTCCTTGGTGACCCACAGACCCAATACACATCAGTTTTATATTGCTCTTGGATGACAACAGCAGAAACTTAGTTATATCAAAGAGAAGTAAAAGGTAAAAATCAAAACCATCATACTAAGTTAAAGGAGACTTAAATTCTTGCTCCAGCTCTGTTACTTACTAGTCCAATTCCTGGCATACAAAAGGTATGTAATGGATCAGTGGTTTTATTATCCAAGGGTCACCTGAATCATCTGTGCATCTTGAAAAACAAATAAATACCCAGCCAATGCTCAGGTTTACCTGAGACAAATGAGTGAGAATATCCAAGAGAGAGGTTTGGGCATATGCATTGTTTTAGAGTTCCAAAGATGATATGGATATCATCTCCCCTGGCAACTATCACTACAACTACTACTCTTAAATGAATGAACTGCCTACTAGTGTTACCCTAATAAACTAGGTATCATTTTTGGTGTCCTAGTTTCCTCATGAGTAAACCAAAAATTCTTAAATGCTTCTTCTTGTTTACTAAGCTGTTATTATTAAGAAAAATCAAGAAAAACCAAACTCATTGCCATCGAACTGATTTCAACTCACAGAGACATTATAGGACAGAGTAGTGTTTCCAAGCATATAAATATTTACAGAGGCAGATTGCCTCATGTTTTCCCCACAAAGTAGCTAGTAGGTTCAAACTGCCAACTTTATGGCTAGCAGTCAAATGCCTTAACCACTGCACCACTAGAATTCCTATTATTAAGTAGGAATATATAAATATGGCTTGAAAAACAAAAAAATGAAACAAAAATGTAAGATGAAAAATTCTTATCATTATTAGTTATCCTCCTGACTTATTAACCTATCATATAATCTCAGATCTGAATCAATTACAGTTTTCCAGCTGGTGAAATAAATGCTCTGAGCAACAGACAGAAGAGAAAAGGAACGCTCATTTATATCGTTAAAGTGAGGCCTTTATAAAGCAACTCTTGTAAAACTTTCCCTAATACCATATTTCTCACTTAGATAGATGTAATACTGGAAGTGCTCAATTGTCCATGCCAAGAAATTTGGAAGACAGCTACGGGGTCAATCAGCTGGAAGAGATCCTTATTTGTGCCCACTCCAAAGAAAAATGATCCAACAGAAAGTGGAAATTATCAAAGAATACCACTGATATTACACAAAAATACAATTCTGACAAAGATAATTCAAAAATGGTTGCAGCAGTACATCAATGGGGAACTGCTAGAAATTTAAACTGGATTCAGAAGAGGATGTAGAATGAGGGATATCATTGCTGATGTCAGATAGATCTTGGCTAAAAGCAAAGAACACCAGAAAGATGTTTACCTATGTTTCACTTACTATGTAAAGGAATTTGACTGTGTGATCATAACAAATTATGGGTAACATTATGAAGAACTGGAATTCTGTAACACTTAATTGTGCTCATGCAGAATCTGTCCACAGACCAAGAGGCAGTTGTTTAAACAGAACTATGGGAAACCGTGTGGTTTAAAATCAGGAAAGGTGGGAATCAGGGTTGTATCTTTTCACCATACTTATTCAATCTGTATGCTGAGCAAATAAGCTGAGAAACTGGAATATATTTAGAAGAATGCAGAATCAGGATTGGAGTTCTGTTGCTAACTAGTTATGTAACCTTAGGCAAGTGACTAACAACCTGCGATATGCAGATGACACAACCTTGTTTGCTGAAAGTGAAGAAGGCTTGAAGCACTTACTGATGAACATCAAAGACAGCCTTCAGTATGGATTACACCTTAACATAAAGAAAACAAAAATCCTCCCAACTGGACCAATAAGCAACATGATGATAAATGGAGAAAAAAATTTCATTTTACTTGGATCTACAATGAACACCCATGGAAGCTGCAGTCAGGAAATCAGATGTCATATTGCACTGGGAAAATCTGCTGCAAAAGACCTTAAAAGTGTCAAAGAGCAATGACGTCACTTTGAAGACTAAGGTGCACCTGACCCAAGCCAC